GGTGTTGCAGTGATGTGTTTTGAGCGTTGTGGAGATGGGCCCTGAAGGCAGCTGTTTTCTACTAGCACAAGTGGAGAGCCTGAGACACACAAAGGCTTTCCTGTCCTGATGCTCAACTCTTGTTTCAATCTTAGATGTGTTGTTAGGCAGACTGGTCAGATGAACAGTAAATGCACGCCAGATTCTCAGACATGGGTTCTGACTTAAATGTGGTAAGCAGTGCTACTACAGGAGACTTCTGATAGGGTAAGTACAGCTATTCCGATTGGCAGTTAACTGTTCCTATTTTCACTCTATGAGAAAGAGGCTAACAGGAACATCAGTGAGACAGAAAGTAACTCCAGGCTCTCCTTTTGGCAGCTACCACAGCTTATTCATGGTGAACAGAACCATTCTGAAATAATGAGGCCCACCCATTAAGGCCCCCACCCATGTAAAGTAGGTATGGAAACTTAAGGAACCTTTATTAGACCCCAGGGAGGCATAAACTACAAAGCAGATTCTTAGATAAGGATAAACAGCTTATTTACAAGAAGTTAAAGCTTTAAAAAAACCATAAAGTGAATGATGCAAATAGTTGTCGTTTTCATAAAAGTGTGTCTAGGTATGTGTCAACACGAAATATATTACCATGTAGTAACAATATCATTTGACATTTTAGTGGTTGATACAAATACTAAACTGAGAAGCAGCAGAACGAGCAAAAGAAAGCCCTCTATTGAGTGCCAGGTTTGCTTCTTGGTGCTCTTACATTTGTTATCCCATTTAAGCCTCAAAACAATTTCAATCATGTAAAAGTTTTATAAACGAGGGAACAAGGAGTTAATAACATCCACTGGAAGCCAGAGTCAACTCATAGAAATGTAACATCCAAACTTTCACAAGCCATCCTGCCACTTTATTATCTCTGAAGAAAGTTGAAGCTGTAAATCTTGATAAACACTGTCTATAGTATTTACAAAACGAATAGCTGATACCTGACTCAGAAATATAGATGCTCCTTGACTTATCACAGTGTCACATCTGATAGGGTTGAAAAAATGTCTGTCACCTAAGCTGCTGCCTGTTAACAGCTGGGCACTCCATGGACCACCAGTTCAAACCTGTGATCTGCTGGATGACTCGGAGCTAAGAACCTCAGAGAGGGTAACTGGAGCTTAGTGCTAGGTTCAGCCTGGGAAAGATCAAATCAGGCCTAGAGTGAGGCTCACACCTGCAATTCAAGCACTGGGAGGCAGAATTATTATGCCCTGGAGCTAGCCTGGGCTACATAATGAGTTCCAGGCCAGGCCAACCAGACTATATAGTAAGATCCTGTTTCGAGAAACAAAACCCCATAGCAGATAAGCAAATGAATAAATAATCAAAACTTAAGACTGGAAGCATGGTTTGTGGCTTCTACTAAGTGCTTATCATTTTTACCATCAATCAACCTGAAAAACCTTGAGAAGCCATCCTAACTTGGGGAACCATTTTTACAAATGCCCCTTACTGGGATAACCACTAAAAAGAAGGTGACATCTAAACACAAGTAAGAATTCAACCAATGCCACAAAGCCAGTGGCCTTTGGCCTGCACTAGCCATTTCCAAAAACAGAGGAAATCATCTCTTATCACAAACAGCAAAGGAGGTCAGCTCTAGTTTACAAGTCAGAGATAAAAGGTTTCCAAAACTAGCCGAATAACTTCATAAAAGAATGGCTGACTGCTACACACCAACTTTAAACAAAATCAAAGTGAAAGAAAGCAGCTCGACCCTCCGCCCCCACAGGAAAAGCCTTTCTTCCTTCCAAGCTTAATTTCCATCTGCTTAAGGCAACATTGTCCCATGAACCAGAGGGCAGCCAAAAGCCAAACAACACACCCTTCCAGAGGAACCTAGCAGCTGGAGACAGAATCCCAGACAGCTGACCATGTCCCATTTCCTTCCGCTAGCACAGTAGTTTTCAACCTTCCTAACGGTGTGACCCTTTAACACAGCTCCTTGTATAGTGACCCCCCACCATAAAATTATTTTCATTGCTACTTCATAACTGTAATTTTGCTATTGTTACAAACCATACTGTAAATCTGTGTTTTCCAATGGTTTTAGGGGACCCCTGTGAAAGGGTCTTTCAACCCGCAGGAGTTGGGAGGTTGAGAACTGCTGTGCTAGCACTAGCACTTCCCCTAGGATCCTCCCGGGGCTTCCAATAGGCTTCATTTTGTATGTCCTCTCCAGGAGGGAAAATGAGTGTCTCAGAGGAGTTACAGGGTCTGCTTCATGACAAGGCTTTCACAGAACGACACTGATTGGGCAAATGAAGACACTTGTTTCAAAGTAACCTCGCCCAATCCCAGTCACTAAAAGAGAAGCATCTTCACTTCAACCACAGCTATACTGTTTAATTAGAAATGAAAAGAAGAAAATGTTAACAGTATTTAAACATTTTCAAAAATGCAACTTAAGTGTCAGGAATTTTCTCATCTCCACCTCTCATGTGGCTGATACACAGTCAAATACAATCAATCTTATGTAAGTTCAAATTTCATCGGGCAGCTCCCATTGACAAGCGGAAGCCTTTTTTTTCCCTCCCACTTTAGCAAGCATCTGTAAACACATTCTGTACTGTACCATGGCCTTACCCTAGGGAGAAAATCAATCACAACAGAGTTCACAAAGTACTGTCTGCAGTATCAGATGACTGAGGTTATCATCTTAAATTCATTTTACTATAAAAAAAAAAATCAAACCTAATTTTGGCCTTCAAACACTGTAGCACTGTTGTCATTCTGATGAAAAGACAGACAAAAAAGAGAGAGAAAGAGAAAGATGAGATCTTACATTTTGGTCTACATTCAAATTTTGACTGTTAAATTTCCTGTTTATCAGTTTTAAAACTTAAAAAAAATATTTCTTTTTAAATACGTCTGTGAACTGCTTAACTTTTTAACCAACCAACAAACCAACCAGACAGACAGACAGACAACCTACCTTCCCATCCCACCAAATACCCCACTGTGGAAGAAGACAGTCTCTTCCAAAATGGATACCTCAGAGCTAAGAGGGCACAGCTGTGAGGTAAAATTACTATTCCTTAGAAGTTATAATTATACACCTAAATGAGGTCAGAGTGGCCTTCCCAAAGCCTGAGCACTGTGGGACATCATAACATAACTCAGGAAACATAGAATTTACTATTGTTTTTCTGTGGCAATTTCTAGAAAATTGGATATAAAAACTGATCACAAATGTGCTTATGTTTTAGACAGAATAAGACATGTACTGTATGAGCACTTGTTAGCTAGTGCAATTGCTGGAGCCAACTTTTTTTATCCCAGCCAGATTAAATCTCACATGCATTTACTTCTGTTTTGTAGTAAAGTATGACTATCATGAATTAGTTCAATATGAAAGGCACATTAACACCCTGTTAACTACTCTTCCACTTTGCTCAAATGAGGGATTTATAGTTTCTTCTCCTTGTTCTTTGTTATAACTTGACATGTTATATACTCAATGCCAGCTCCTTTAGAAATGCTGGAGTACTCCATCATATTAACTACATGCTCACTCTGACTTTATGACCATGCAAAGGGGTGATCATAAAGACTGCTGTTTCAAATGGGACTAAGGTCAGTGTACTCCAACCGCTTCCTAAGCTGCTTTCCACAGCTTGTAAGACAAAGCATTAAGTAGATGTGACATTTACGTTGATATTTGCTATGACTGCATGAGACACTAAAGACAACTCTATGGAAATTTGCCTAATTATGTGTTTATCACTTCGGTTTTTACAAAAGTTAGATAAAAACAGCAGATAAAACAGAGTATGGAGCTCCTGCCTACTAGCAACCCACAATCAAAAGAGTATATAATTTCTTATTTAAAATATTAAATTACTCGTAAAATCCACTTCAGTGGTATTTTGAAGCTAATTCTGTGCTGCAGTATATGGCATATACTTTTCATAAGATATCTAATATATATATATATATGTGAGTCTGGGGATGTGGTTCAGTGGTAAAGTCCTTGCCTAGTGTGCAAGAGGACCTGGGTTCAATTCCCAGGACTGGGGGGTGGTGGTGGTGGTGCATGTAGAAAAGTTACACAATTACTTGCTAACAGGAAGATTTTGTAAGGAGAGGAAAAATGCTTATCTTCCATACATAAAAGTGATCTTAGGGTTTTAGGTCTTACAGTTATTGCCACGAATTCATTCAAGGTTAAGAGCAGATGGTCTCTTTCACTGTTTTTTGAGATAATCTTTGTGATTAAAAGTAGATCAGAATAGTTGAAATTGTCCACAGTGATAAAAAATAATAATACTACTTCTTTACAAAGTCCTTTATGTCTATGATATCCTAATATCCACTGGAAAAATGCCGAAAAATCTATTCTACTCTTCCACTTGGTAACTTAAAATTCAGTAAAATGTAGCCGGGCGGTGGTGGCGCACGCCTTTAATCCCAGCACTCGGGAGGCAGAGCCAGGCGGATCTCTGTGAGTTCGAGGCCAGCCTGGTCTCCAAAGCGAGTTCCAGGAAAGGCGCAAAGCTACAGAGAGACCCTGTCTCGAAAAACCAAAAAAAAAAAAAAAAAAAAAAAATCAGTAAAATGTTAGCTGACTAGCTAGAAACTGGAGTCAGAAAACCTAATGGAGTCGGCTTCCTCTAGTAACAGTGTTCCTCCCACTGTGCTATATGGTACACTGAAGACTAGTTTGAAAAAAATCATCAGAGCCAGGTAACAATGAGATTCAACAGAGGTCAAGTAAAGTGTAATGTGATTTAGTGGTTTCTTGTTTTAAGATTTGATGGTTCACAGTAATTTAAAACAGGTGTTAGCAAGCAGCTTCTGTTTATGAGCTACTGCTTCCCTTCCACCATGATTTTTTCTTTTTGGGGAATGTGGGGTGTGTGAGGTGTGAGTGTGTGCTTGGGGATTGAACCCAGGACCCTTTGCATGCTAAGCATGTGTTCACTTCTGAGCCACACCAGCATTTTGGGGAATTATCTTACCTCTGCTCCTGAATAAGTGTCAGTTTGGAGGACGAGTTCATCCAGATCAACCTCGTTACCGACTGGCATTGAGTGGAACTGTAGGTTCAGTATTTCCCTTCTTGTTGCTGCATCCGGTAAGGGCACGTAAATGATCCTATCAATTCTTCCAGGCCGCATCAACGCCTATACAGATGGAACAGCAAGGCTCAGAAATGACATTCCATATCAAAAGCAGTCAGAGAAAAAGAGCACCTAGTTTTTCAGAAATATCCACGTAACTATTATCCTCAATTAACAAATAAGACAAGTACTAGCTACTCTATAATCTATTTCAAGATATAAACAGTGTCTAGTTGATTTCTGAAGATAGGAAAACAGCAGTTCTAGGAAACTCTCTTTCTGTACATCTGCCAAGGTAAGTAGAAAATGATAACATTTAAGGAAATGTATGACTTATACTTATATGAAAAACCCCCACATTTAAAAAAAAACTTCCTTCAATAACTCTTTAAAAATACATATTAGGCCATTTGCTGTTTCAGAGAGCCTTAAAAATAGCACAGCTATGATAAAGGAATAGGCCTAGAGATTAACTTAGTTGAATGTTTTTTAGCATTTTATTGGAGGCTAATGCCTCCAATATATTATGCCAGACCTAATGAACGAACTTACTCAGGAAGTTTACTGAGCACATGTTACTCACTAGACAGCTTTGGTATTAGGAAAAATAACAAATGTGTAAAGCATAGATGTGTAAAACTAATGTGGTAACAATTACACATAAATAAGAGTAAGATATTTTAAATGAGTGGATTTTATGGTATATGACTATCTCAATAAAGAAACTGAAATAGATGTATGTCTTTTGAGGGAATGGGGTAGATGGGACAGTCAGAAAAGCCTTGCTCAGAAGGTAATTTATATAGATACCCAAAGCAGCCACACACAGAGATGTGGGAAGACCATTCAAGGAAAGAGAAGATCCAGTACAAAGAAAAGCAAGTGGCACATGGTAGAAAAGAAAGAAACCCAACAAATCTGAAGCATAGTGAATAAAGGAAACAAGAGGTAAGAAGTGAGATCAGAGAGACACACAGACACACTATAGAAAGACGGAGTGATAAATTTTACATTAAAAGAATTCTTGTGCAACAATATATATATATATATATATATATATATATATATATATATATATATATATATATAAAAACTAGAAAATTTGGCATCCAAAAAAAAAAAAAAAAGCTGTAGAACTAAGGGCCTCAACGTTTCCCCAAATAGGCAAGCAAAACACATTCACAGTCAAGAAGAAGTTGTTTCAGTCAAACTGCTAACATCTCAAACTCAAGAGTACCTTGAACACAGGTGCACACCGGAAACACTGGAATCACTACTGTCAGAACACTGTCCAAGAATGGAGTTGTTTGAGAGGTATTCTGAGCACTTGTGAGAAAATTCCAAGAAAACAAGGCGTGACCTCAGTTTCCTCAAAACACAGAATTGCTCTTGGAGTGGGTTTTCATGCTCCTCCCAGGCGCAGCGGATAAGAGTGAGTTTATTTCAGCTATTATGCATGTGCTTCTATGGAAAAACTTGTTCTTGACACATGCGGCTGTCCTTGAGAATCTACACTTTACTCGAGTGACTCTTTGTAACCGTCAGAGTATAAACTATCTGATGCTCTGAATAAAGTTGGCTATTGGCTGAGACTTTAGACAACCTCACTTTTGGGCTCGGCTCTCCCAGATTCACACTGCCAACTAGAGTGGTAAACAACTAATAACTCTCCAACCCAACACACAGGCAGTTATCAGGAGAGCAACATTTTTAAAGTGCTAAAACAAAAATATGTATCACAAAATCCTATTTCTAACAAAAAATAGCCTTCAATAATGAAGGATAAACAAGGTTATTTTCAGATAAAAGAAAAACAACAACAAAGGTTCCAGGAGATCTATGTCACAGAAATGGCCACTAGGCTTTCAGATTGAAGGCAAATGATACAAAGTAGAAAATAAAATCTTCAGCAAGAAATGAAAAGCACTGGAAATTAAATAATTAAAAAAAAAAAAAAGCAGACTCCTTCCCCTTTCAAAACCATTAAAAATATACTCTTCCTGCTGCTTTCATCAGCAATGGGAGCCAGGGCAGCACACAGAAGTTCAAGGCCCATCTAGACTACAGAAGAAGTCTAAAACTAGCCAGGATAACTTAGTAAGCCCCATGTTAAGCTAAATGAAAGCAAGCTTCAACACCTAGAACAAAACAACAACAAAACTAAAAAATAAAAACCAAAACCAAAAATAAAACATTAAAATTATACAACCATTTCAGGACATAGAAAGAGGCATACTCATTAAATTGTTTTATAAGGTTAAGCTATTAACCTCAAACTTGGCAAAGACGAAAATCCTATTCCTAACAAAATAACAGAAAAATGGCATTCGTAAATACAGACCCCCAAATTTTCAAAATATTGGCAAACAGAATCTGATTTACAAAACAGATAAATAATCAAAACCACAAGTTATCTCTGGAAACAAAGGCTGGGTTAATATTTAAAATTTAATCAGAGTACTTCACGTTATTGATTAAAAAAGTAGAAAGCTAGGATAACTTTGATATGTGCAGAGAAAAGCACCTGACAATCAGTTCAAGACCTACTCATGATGGTAAACTCTCAACAAACTGAAAGCAGAAGGGATCTTTATTATGACAAAAGATATTTACTTACTGAACACTTGTAGCCAACAGCATATTTAACACTGAAATACTGAATGCTATCGACCATCTCTTATACTGGAGATTCTAAAAGAGCAGTAAGGAAGAAAGAGGGAGTACAGAACATGGAGTGAAAACGTACATTTAAAAAAATCTTCAGTAGACAGAGTTATATGGAAATTCTTTTAAAAAAAAGTATAAAACTATACCAAGACCACACAGTACAAGTTTAGTATTAAAAAAAAAACAAACAAACCAATTGCTACCATATAATAAACAGCAAAAGCTCTCTTACTTGAAATACATTATAAAACTCAAACACAACCTGAAAATAAAAATAAGCCAAGAATTCTTCACTGAAAAACACAACACTTGAGAGAAATAAAGAAAATCTAAATAATTAGACCATGTTGGTACATTAGAATATTCAATGTTACTAAGATAATTATTCCAAAATTTATCTAGAGATTGCATGCAATTTCAATATGATGTTTTAAGTAAGAAACTGATGCTGGATGTTTTGGCACACACCTTTTATTCCAGCATTCAGGAGGCAGAGGCAGGTGGATCTCTGTGAACACAAGGCCAGCCTGGTCTACAAAGCAAGCCCTAGGACAGCAGAGCTGTTACACAGAGAAACCCTATCTGGAAAAACCAAGGAGAGAAAGGAGGAGAGGGAGGGAAAGGGGGGGTAGAGAAGGAGAGAGAGGGAGGGAGGGAGAGGGAGGAAGAGAAAGGGGGAGAAAGAGAGAGAGGAGGGAGGGAGGGAGAGAAAGGGAGAGAGAAGGGAGGGAGGGAGTGGGGGAGGGGGGGGGAGATAAGTCTTTCCCCATCGCCCAATGACTTGGACTGGACCTTATTTAGTTGTTGGGAACACAGCTGTAAATAGGCTGGCCTTTTTTTTTTTTTTTTTTTTTTTTTTTAAAAAAAACCTTTTCTTCTAGAAAGACCCATAAATTCCTTGGTAGTTTAAAATTTCCTTTCTAATGCTTAAAAAAAAAAATACAGCCAAGAATACAGAGCATAAACAGTGACTAGTGCTGCATCGCCCAGCATGCACCTGTGCTCTGTTCTGCTGAGGCTGCTCTAGGGCAGTGCAAGCTGAGTGCAAGTCAAACTGTCTGGACCTACAGCCAGAGAGGCCTTTTCTGGTCTGATCTTGTCAGTGAAAGTCATGCTTTAAAAAGAGCAGGAAAGAGTCTTCCTTCCTGTAGAACTATGAATGAGTTAACACCCTTCTTAGATTTTTCTTTTCTTTTTTAAAGTACTGTTCTGGGATATGAGGGTAGATAGATACACTGAGGGTGATGAGTACTCTGGGAAATCAGCATGGTACTTGTTGAAGAAGCTGGCCAGGTCTTTTCTAATGCTGAATGAACCCTTCCAGCTGTAAAGTCACATTGGATACTGTAGCCTCTTCATCCTAACAGCATTAAAGAAACAATCACAGGGAAAGCTGTTTTTTCTTTCTTTTTCTACTTTGCATGTACATGTGTGTATGTATGTAGTCATTGAGGAAGGGTCTTCCACTCAAACCCAGAGCTTGCTGATATGGCTAGCCTTGCTAGCCAGCTTTCTTGGGGGATTTCATGTCTCTACTCTCACTGGATGGGGTAACAGGAAGGCTATCACAACAACCCAGCATTTACATGGGTTTCTGTAAAGGCAAGCTTACTTTAACTGCTGAGCCATCTCCCTAGTCCCTAACTGCATTTTCTGAGAACTCATTCAAGCTTTTGGAAAAGTCTGTACAACTCTAACAGCTTTGGGGTCTTTATGTATGAGAATAAAGAGGCACTGATCAGAGGGGCAGTGTGCATCTGACAGGCATCCTCAAATATTTAGATATGCAAAGTTCTCACTTTTGTAAACAGTTTGAGGGAGTCACTGAATTTTGCTTCTGTGTCCAGATAAGGAATTACAGTATCACATATGACCCTCTGTATATATTCATGTGTATGTGTTTATGTATTTTGTAGTACAGGGATGGAATCCAGGACCTTGTACACCTTAAGCAAGTGTTCTCTACCAGAGCCAGATGACCTTTAAAATGGGCTTCTAAGACCCCAGTTCTAAGGGTCTATGTGGCATCCTACATAGCTTACATTATATGACCACTGAAGAAAACATGTTCCTTATAAAACCAATACTTGTTCTTTTTCTGACTTGTACATAAAGAAATTCAAAACATTGCAAGTATTCTTGTGAAGCCTAGTGGCAATTACAGGGCTTCAATTTCTGTTTCACAAGTTCTAAAATTTAACACTGGCAAGTTTGGATTTTATCAAAAGTTCAAATTTAATTTAATCAGTATAGAACTACTCATGTAGTCCAAAATATTAAAACAGGTATTCTAAAATCAAAAATGGTGTTATTACATTTGTAATCTCAGTATTCATGAGGCCGAGACAGTAAGATTGCTGTGAACTTATGTCAGCCAGGGCTATATATAGATATCC